GGGGTGAAAGACCAGGGATCTAGTCTCAGTCCTTTACATGAAGGATTATTTGGTTTTCCCAGCAGCATTTTGTTATTTTGTTCCATTGTGTGTTTTGTGCTCCTTTGTTAAAAAGATCAAGTTGGCTGTAGATACATGGGTTTTATGTCTGAGTCCTTCTATTTCTGATCCATTGGTCTTCTTGTCTGTTTTTGTGCCAGTACCGCATGCTGTTTTTTATTGTTATGGCTGTATAGTAACAGTTTTGAAGTCAGTTATTGTGATGCCTCCAGCATTGGACATTTTTGCTCAAGAAATTGCTTTGGCTATTCAGGTCTTTTATGTTTCCTTATGTATTTCCAAATATTGATTTTCTCTATTTCTGTGCAGAAGGTATTGGAATTTTGATATGGGATTGCAATTGAACATATAGATTGGATTTTGATAGTATGGCCATTTTCACAATGTTTTTTTTCTACAATCCACAAAGCATGATAGGTCCTTTTCCATCTTTGATGTCTTCTTTGAGTTCTCTCTTTGGTGATTTCTGTTTTTTCCATTAAAAAGTCCTTTGTTCTTTTCTTTTGTTAAGTTTATTCCAAGGTACTTTATTATTTTTTGAAACTCAATTGTAAGTGGGATTTGTTTCCCTGCATTTCTTTCTCAGTTTGTTCATTGTTGGTATATAGGAGACTACTGATTTCTGCATGTTACTTTGTAATATTGCTACTTTTGATGAAAAAGTTTTTATGATATCCTAATAGTTTTTTGGTAAAATTTTTAGGGTCTCTTAGTATAGGATCATGGTCATCTGCAAAAAGGCATAGTTTTGTAATTTCATCCTTCACAATTTGAATCTTCTTTTATTTCTTGGTCTGGTCTTATTGGTCTGGCTAGGAATTCCAAAAATCACATATATAATAGGAGTGGGAAAAGTAGACATTCCTGTGTTGTTCCTAAAATTTAGTGGGAATGGTTTAGTTGTTCTCCATTTAGTATAAATGTTGATTATAGGTTTGTTTATACATAGCCTTTATTGTGTTGAAGAAGTATTCCTTCTAATTCCTTGTTTCTTCAGAAGCATTTATCAATGAAAGGTTTTTGAATTTTGTCAAGGCTTTTTTATTTGCATCTTGTGTGAGAATAACCTGGTTTTTATCATTGCCTCTGATTATTTGCTGTATTATGTTTATAGATTTACATATGTTGATCATCCTTGCATCCATGGAATGAAACCAACTTTGTTCTGGAGTATGATCTTTTTTGATGTGTTATTGATTCTGTTTGCCAGCATTTTGTAGAGAATCTTTACATCTGTATTCAATTAAGATATTGGTCTACATTTCTCTTTTTTGTTTCCATCTTTATTGGGGTTTGAATGAATGTAAATGCCTGGCTCCATAGAATGACTTTGGCAGTACTCCTTCCCTCTTTCTATTTTCGGAAAGTTTTGAAGAGTATGGTTTAGTTTCTCTTTTAAAGGTTTGGTAAAATTTGGCCATGAATCCATTCAGGTCCTGGCTCTCTTTGTAGGGAGGCTCTATACTACTTTTCCAATTTTTTTGCTTGGAAAGATGTCCATTTAGGTGGTTAATATCTCTTGTTTGATTTTGGGTAGTTATATGCATCCAAAAAATTTAATGCATTTGTCTAGATTTTTCATGTTTAGTAGAATATAATTTTTCAAATTAAGTTCTAATGATCTTCTAAAATCTCATTAGCATTTGTGGTTATGTCCCCCTTTTCATCTCTGATTTTATTTGGGTCCTTTTTCCTGCTTTGTTTTGGTCATATTGCCTAAGGTTGTCAATCTTTCAAAAACCCAACTTTCCTCTTTCATTGATTCTTTGGTGTGGTTTTTTTGGTCTTGAATCATTGAATAATTGGCCCTGATCTTGTATTATTTCTCTTCCATCTGGCTGATTTTGAGTTTCATTGGTTCTTTATTTTTCAAAGGAGCTTTAAAGTACATCATGAAGGTTTGTTTTGTTTGAAAAAAGTCTGTTTTTTTAATGTAAGGCACTTATAGGTATAATGATCCATTTTTTAAGTTGATACAGTGGAGGTGATAAACATGGTCTACTTTCATTTTTTGCAGACAGATAATCACTTTTTCCCAGCAACATGTTGAAGACACTGTCTTTCCTCCATCATAAGTGGGCATAGTTTGGTGGTCATATCTGGGTCTCTATTCTGGTTGCCAGGTGGTCTTCATATCTGTTTATGTGCCAGTTACCATGCTGTTTTTATTGCTATTGCTTTGGTAATATGTTTTGAAAGTCAGGTACTGGATACTGCCAATATTGCTTCTTTTTGATGAAGTTATTTTCAATTGGCTAATTTTGTTCCTGTGTTTCCAAAACAAACTTTAGCGGTAGATTTTTTCAATCTCTGTGATGAAATGTCATTGGGATTTTTGATGGGATTGCATTAAACATAATAGGTTACTTTTGGTAGTATAATCATTTTTAACTATGTTTGATTCCTACCAATACATAAGTATGGGAGATCTTTCCATCTTCTGTGTCTTCCTTGACGTCATTCTTCAGGGGTTTGTAGTTCTCCTTGTTAAGAGGTCATTCACATCCTATTGTTAAGAAGTTTACTTCTAGGTATTAGATTTTTTTTTTGAGGCGCTGTTTGTAAATGGGAATTGTTTCCAAACATTCTTTCTTAATTGTTCATTGTTGGTGTTAGAAAAGCTAATGATTTTTGTATGTTGACTTTGTATTCTGTACCTTGCTATAGCTGTTTATAGTATCCAGGAGTTTTTGGGTAAGTTTTGTGGGTCTTTAAGATATAGGATGCATGTCATCTGCAAACAGGGATGTTTTGACAGTTTTTTTCCCTAAATGTGTATTCCTTTTATTTCTTATTCTTGCTAAAATTTGCCCTCTGGATAGGAATTCCAAGTACTATGGTAAATAGGAAGTGGGGATAAAGTGGGACCCTTGTCTCATTCCTGATTTAGGGGAAATGGTTTCAGCTTTTCTCTATTAAGTATGATGTTTGGCTATAGGTTTGTCATGTGTAGCCTTTACAATGTTGAGGTAATTCCGCCGTTCCTAGTTTTTCTTAGAGCTTTATCATGAGGTGGTGTTTTCTCTATTAAGTATGATGTTGGCTTTATAGGTTTTGTCATGTGTAGCCTTTACAATGTTGAGGTTACATTCCGTCCGTTCCTAGTTTTCTTAGAGCTTTATCAATGGAAGTGGTGCTTGAATCTTATCAAAATCTTTTTCTGCAGTCTACTTAGATGATCAAATGGTTTTTTGTCTTTGGCTTTTCTATTGTGTGCTGTATTTACAAATTTTATAGATTTGCATTATGTTGACCACCCCTGCATTCCCTAGGATGAAACTAGCCTTGGTCATGGGTGAATGAATCTTTCTGATATGGTTGATTCACTTGCCATTATTTTTATTGGAGATTTTTGCACTGATGTTCATTAAGTGACCTGGCCTATAGGTCTCCTTTGGATGATTCTTTGTCTTCTGGTCTTGGGGATGAGTGTAATACTGGGACTCATAAGACATTGAGTTAGGTGGTGTTCCTTCCTTTCTATTTTCATGGAAAAGTTTAAGGAGAGTTCGTTTTATGAATAGCTTTAAAGGTCTGATTAGAATTCGGCAGAGAATCAAATCAGGTCCTGACTTTCTTTTTGGGGAAACTATTGCTCTTCAATTTCATTTTTGTATTTATAGATCTAGTCAGGTGATTAATATCTCTGGTTCAGTTTTGGATGGCATAAGTATCTAGAAACTGTACATTTCTACAAGATTTCAAATTTATTGGAATATAGGTTCTCAAAGTAGTCTTTGGTGATTCTGGACTTCCATGGTTGGTTTTATTTATTTCTCCCCTTTTGCATTTCTGATTTTACTGGTTTGGTTTTTCTTTCCTCATTTTAGTCAAATTCACAGGGGCTGTCATCTTGGTTTCTTTTTTGGTGTGTGTGTGTGTGTGTGTGTGTGTGTGTGTGTGTGTGTGTGTGTGTTAGATATTTAGATATTTTCTTTTTTTTCTTTTATTCATATGTGCATACAATGTTTGGGTCATTTCTCCCTTCTTCCCCCACCCCCTCCCTTTGTTTATTTTTCAAAAGAACCAGCTTTTTGTTTGTTGTTCTTTGTATGGCTTTTTTCTGTTTCTATTTCATTAATTTTGGCCCTTATATTTATTATTTCTCTCCTGGTTGTTTTGGGATTATCTTGTTCTTGTTTTTCTAGGAGTTTGAGATGTAGCATGAGGTCATTGATTTGAGATCTTTCTGACCTTTAATATATGCACTTATGGCTATAAACTTTACTCTTAGGACTGCCTTTGCTATTCCCATAGTTTGCTCAGTTGTGTTTTCATTTTCATTAACTTCCAGGAACCTTTTAATTTCCTCTTTTATTTCATCAATGACCCACTGATCATTGAGCAGTTCAGCTTCCAGTTGTTGTTTGCATATTTTCTGCTGTTGTTGTTGTTGAGTCTAGTTTTAATGCATTGTGATCAGATAGGAATGCATGGCATTAATCTATTTTCTTATACTTGCTGATGCTTGCTTTGTGCCAAAAGATATGATCAATTTTGGAGAAAGTTCCATGGGCTATTTAGAAGAATGTATATTGTGCAGCAGTTGGATGAAATATTCTGTAGACATCAGCTAGGTCCATTTGATCTATGGTGTGGTTTAGTTCTAGAATTTCTGTATGGATTTTTTGTTTAGGTGATCTATCTATTGGTAATAAAGGGTATTAAAGTCTCCCACTACCATTATGTTGGAGTCTATATATGCTTTTAGGTCTTTCAGAGTATGTTTGATGAAATTGGGTGCACTGACATTGGTGCATATAGATTGATAAACTGTTATTTTCCTTTTGGAGTAGTTCTCCTTTATTAGTATGGAGCATCTTTCTTCATGTCATTTGATCAATGTAAAGTTTGAAGTCTACTTTGTCCGAGGTAAATATTGCTACTCCTGCCTGTTTTGGGGGCCATTGGCTTAGTAAATCTTTTTGCAGCCTTTTACCCTAAACCATATTCATGTTCTCTATGAATTTGTGATCATATTTGAGCACAATGGAAGTCACTTCAGACAACCCAAATATTGATGAAAACAAAGTCTTGAAACTTTCTTCTACACTTTGAAAAAGTAAGACACATAGCAATGAACAACTTTCAACATTAAAAAGTCAAAGCAAAAAACAAGTCAGGGTTTGATCTAACACAGTATAAAATGTCACTATAAAATACATTCAGTAAGCTTCTAATAATACTTGTAATATAAATTCTGAGTAGATTTTTCTGTATGATATTTAATAGAAATAGTTCTCTTAGATTTCCACAAACTGGTGCCAATGATTAGCCTAGGAGAAGACAAAGTCTTATCACAATATCATGCCTTTCTCTAGAAGGATAAAAGTTTCAGAGTTCAATTTTGTAGGTGTCTTAGAAATTTAATAATCAGGGTTTCTGAGTAGAACAGGACTAAGAATAAAATTAATTACCCACTTCAAAAGTATGTACAGATGTACTCGCTGGCAGCATCATTTGTATGAATAATTTGCATTTAGAATAAAAACAACTAAATATCAGAACAGACAAAATTATTTGGTAGCATTTAGAATATGGAATGCTGTTGCAATCCATACTGGGACAAATGAACAGATCTATTTTCAAAATGGGTATCAGAGATATATTAAGCAAAAAATGTAGCAAGTGTGGAAGTATTCCATCATTTGAAAAAAGAGGTGGATTAAATACTTATATTGCTTTTTATGTGAAAAGTGTCTCTGAAAGTTATCTGAAAGACATACTGCTTCCTGGGAACTAAGGAAACTAATACCCTCAGATCCAGGGCAGGGAGGGTTTCAGACATCACTAATGATATCTTCACTATGTGAATTTTTTTGTTATAAGAATTTAGTTGTCCCTTGTTATTTGTGTGGATTGGTACAGGAACTCAAATGGGGCTCAATCTGTTGGATGTTTAGCTGGGTGCTGTGGCTCACACTTTTTTTTTTATTATTATTCATATGTGCATACAATGCTTCGGGTCATTTTGTGGCTGCACACTTGTAATCCTAGCTATTTGGAGGTGGAGATTGAAGGATCCAGTCTGCAGGCTAACCAGCAAACAGTGAGACCCACATGTCAACCAATGCTGGTTATTTGTGGTTGTGCCTGTCATCCCAGAGATATGCCGGGAAGCATAAATAGGAAGATTATTGTCCGAGCTAGCTGGGCAAAAATTGAGAACTCTGATTTCACAAATTTACTGAAGCCAAAAGGGCTGGGGGAGTGGTTCATGTGGTGGACCAACTGCTAGCAAGCCAGAGTCCCTGAAGTTTTGAAACTCCAGTATGCCAAACACAAACAAGAGAAAATGAAATTCTGTGGATGATCAATTAAGTCCCTTATAAAAAAATGCAAGTATTTTCAAATTACTTATGCATATTGTCCCTGAATTCTTTAAACTCTCTCCAGATTATTTATACTACCTAATTAATGCAAACTGCTATGCCAAAAGGTGGTTATATTGTACAGGGAAATGTCAAGAAAGTATACAGTTTCAGTACAGACACAGTTTCTATTCTTCGAATATTTTTGATCCACAGTTGCTAATCTGCAAATGTGGACACTGGATCTGGGACGATTGTATACTCCTGGAATAATTTTCAGTGAAAAAGATAGGAGTCAATGGGAGAAAGATTCCCTATATAATCTATTTCTGATCTTCATCAAACGATTAGTATTTGACCCTCACCAGACTAATTACAACAGTTTTGTCCTTAAATGACTTTTGGGCAACATGTCTTTGACTGATTTTGCTCATATGACCTGTTATAATCACTGATTTGTGAAATGAATACCAGCAGTTTCTTCATGGTCAGTCCTTAGCACATCAAATTCCATTACAAGGAAGAATTCAAAATAAGTCATTTTCAGAAAATGATTTCTGGCAACAGTACTTAAAATTTTTTTACAAATTCTAAATAATTTTGATCTTATAGATTTGTAGGTTTAAATACTAATTCAGCATATCTATTCATTCATTTGAACAAATATTGACAGAGCATACTATCATGTTCTAAAATTTTTGCTGCGATTCTGGGGGTTAGAGAAAGGTTTCTATTTCCTATAAGATTGTTAATCTACATTATGAACCATTTGATGTGTGATTGTCATCACCAGATGCTCCGTAGGAGACTAAGAAAAACTTCAACATCTTGTTTTGCATTTATCTCCATTTCACAACATTTTCCTGTGCTTCCTCTTATCTTTGCAGACTTTTCTGCCCTAGCCTCACTTTGTGTTGTGTGGTATGCATGTGTAGGGGAAGAGGATAGTAAGAATGGAACGAACACTGGCAGTTCTGAGAGCCTATGTGGGTAGAGCTTTACATAACTTGCTTTATGTATCATCACAACAACTTTTATTTAAACGTCTATTGTGTTTATTTTCTAAATAAGGAAATGAACATGAAAAATGCACAGCTAATTTAACTAAAAGGGCACCAGCTAAGAAATAGCAGAAACTGCATTAAAATCCTGGTTCCCCTGATTTTTTGGCTATGTTCTTTCCACTACCCCATGTTATCCCCTGCACCCTAAAAAAACAGTGAAGAAAAGGTAATGTATAAATGAGTTTATCATAGAGTTAAAGATGAGAAAGAGAGCTTGTGGTGGAACTTTGTGGTAGGATCACATATTTCCATAGTTTGAATTGATTTTTTCCCCTCATTATAATAAAGTTGAGTTTCAGAACTTTTTAACCTTTAAGACTGCTCTGTATTTCCTACTAAAATTCAATTTCAGAACATTTTGATAGCTGAAGAGATTTGATATTCACTTTAAGTCTACAGGGAACTGTACTGAACATGAAGGTTGGTTTCAGTGATATCAGTATAGACACAAAGGAAGAACAAAGAGGGCTTATGATCTTCCCACCAGCAGGACTAAAATACGAGGGAGGGCCCCCTCTCATGACAAAAACACCAATGGGTGAGAAGAATCTCACACTCTGGACCCCTTCATCAGAAGGAAGAATAATCAGGAAGACTTCAGGGAGAGGATAATCTCCAGTTCGCAGAAGCCAGAATGATAAGGGAGGAAATGTTCTGGCCTTTCTGGTGGGCTTTTAAAACACATGTCTCTTTTCTGCTTACTGAACTCCCTATATCTGATTAATGATGAATCTGTTAAAATAAAAGCCTGGTGGCTTTTCTGAAACGGTGGTAATTGGCTAAAAATGATGAAACTAATTTAGTAATTATATATAACGTCAGTAGACTCCAGCATAAAAATTGTTATCCATTCTTTAAATACCAGTTCCATCTGGAATTTTCCCCAAGTCCTAATCAATTTTGCGTCAAATTTAGTAGCTAAAAAGAGATGAACCTGTGGAGTAATGTTAATTGCATGTGAATGCCTACTGTTTTAATGGATTTCTTTCTGTTCTTAAAAATACTTTTGTTATAATATTGAAAAGTTTCTTTGACTCATCTAAGCTATTATATTTCTCTTCATTGTACCTTTTCCTAAGATGGCTCTACTTATGTGGTAAAGCAGGAATTGACTTTTGGCCCCAAGGTAGTAAGAATAAGTATGAACATTGGCCATCAATAAAGGCCAGAAAACCATATATGAAAGAGACCATGAACTTGAATTGTCTTCACAGTCCTTCCCAGAGAGATCTTGCAAAGGGCTGAAGCTCTCATTTGGCAGGGAGGATGTACGTGATCCGAGAGAAGCTGAGCACAACAGCTGATGGCCATAAAGGCTTCAAATATGATCTGAGGGTCAGAAGGGAGCCATTTATCTCTGGCCTGGAAAGAAGAGAGAAAGGGATTTTAAAAATGGGGCTTCTTGATCATTTCTTTGCTAAGTCTGCAAAGTAAAAACCCTTTAAATAAGTGTCTATCTTGTAGATGGGTGGTATTACTCATTTGACACTACTTTACGGATCTGATTAAACTGGTCCATACTATTTTTTTGTAAAGAAACATAGCTTCTCATTATTTTTCCAATAGAGGAAAGACTAATTATAAAGACCTAAAATGACTTCACCTGAAGATAAGGAGATTAAATCTTCAGAGACAGACTGTGTCAGAATACTGAAACATACTGTAATGATTGTCAGTTGGATTTATTGACCAGTTATTTTGTCATGCTATAAGACACAGCTGCAGGGAAACTTTCTTTTTTTTTTTGAACAGATGAAATGGATTTTTAATGTAGTAATTAGGGTAACAATGGAATATTATTCAGCTATAAAAAGGGTAAAATTCTGTCTTGTGGCAACATGGATGGAACTGGAGGACACATTATGTTAAGTGAAATTATCCAGGCACAGAAATACTGATACTCTAACATGTTGTGGAAACTAAAGCAGTTTGACCACATAACGAAATAGAGAGTAGAATTGATGTCACTATTAGGTTTGAAAAGGAGAAGGAGAAGAGAGATAAGAGAGAGGTAAATAATGAGTACACCGAAATACAGCCAGAATTGGGAAAGTAATTGTTATGTTCTGAAGCACAGTATGTTGCTATAGGTCCACTGCAATTAAGTCAATTTTTTTAACATTTAAAAATTTTTTTTTCATTTTTTCTTTTATTATTCATATGTGCAATACAAGGTTGGTTCATTTTCCACTGCCCCCACTCTCCTTACCACCGCTCCACCCTCCCTCTCCCTCCCCCCAATAACCAGCAGGAAACTATTTTTGCCCTTATTTCTAATTTTGTTGTAGAGAGAGTAATAAGCAATAATAGGGAAGGAACAAGGGGTTTTGCTGGTTGAGATAAGGATAGCTATAAAAGGGCATTTTGACATCCCATTGATTTTTCCTGTGGTGGGTGTTTACCTTTAGGTTATTTTTTGATCTAACCTTTTCTCTAGTTCTGGTCCCCTTTTTCCTATTGGCCTCTAGTTGCTTTAAGGTATTGCTTTTAGTTTTCTGCATTAAGGGACAACAAAATGTAGCTAGATTTTAGGTGTCTTACCTATCCCTCGTCCTCCTTGTGTGCTCTGCTTTTAATCATGCTGCTCATAGTGCAATCCCTTTCGTTGTGTTTGCCCTTGATCTAATTGTCCACATATGAAGGAGAAATACGATTGGTTTTTTTGAGGGCCATGATAACCTCACTCAGAATGGATGTTCTCCAATTCCATACCATTTACTAGAATGATAACATTTTGTTCTTCTTCATGGCTGCATTTAAAATTCCATAGATACCAATTTTTTTTAATCCATTCGTCAGTGCTGGGGCATCTGGCTGGGATAACTTTCTTTTCCATATTGTTTTTTGGGGAATTAAGTTTGATTGTAAACAATTTTGTGAAGTAAAATGTTATGCGACGAGGGAGAATGTCAGCAAATCACACTGCTCTTGACCATGGAGTATCTGAATCACATAGCTGTTCCTGGAAAATGTAAAATTGTTACAAAATTGTAAAATTTTGGATACAGATTTTGAATGAAAACTAGCTAACAATCCTCTAACAATCACATTTCACAGATTACTTTTCCAAGTTTGCACGCAGATTCATTTCCTGACTAGTTCAGCAAAGCATCAGTGCAGTTAATTTTATGTGCAAACAGGTCATTTCCATAAAGATAGATGATTATGAACATTCACGTAACAAAAAAATGAAAAAATTATTTTATTGGATGGTTTATGTTCAACAGAATGTTTAATGTGCTTTGATGACCTGTGGAGTCAATGCCATCCTCTTTTAAGTGATGGCAGAAACTAAGACTTAGAAAAAGTAAAACTTGATCAAAACATACCATATAGAAACAAATTCACAAACTCCCTTCTAGTCACGCAGTCCTTAAATTCTACAGGAGTAAAATTTAAAACTAGCATAGGGTTATGGAAATAGTCAAGATATGCCATCACATCAAAAAAATATAAGTTATTCTTCCAATTATAAATTGATGATCATTTGTTCCTATTTGAACAGCGTCTCTTGGTATATTTAAAATGCTTACTTGCTACCAATGTCAGATGATCATGTGTTTAAATTTCATGCATTGCACATTGCTTATGTTTTGGAGTGGGAGCCCTGCCTTCTTCAAAATGCTAACATGCTAGTTGTAACTCATCACAATATAAGCTTAAATTATACTTCTAAACAGTTATTCTTCACAACAGAACCACAATTTACATTCCCATGCCCTAACCTTTCTTATCTTTGTAAAATGAATGTTAGGCAAATAATTTTTATACCAATCTATGAAATTATGGGACAATAACTTAATATGGTCCTGGCGCTGGGCAAACGGAAGACATCAGTTATCTTCTCACCTTGCAAATGATAACTGGGGATACTCCTGGCTCGCCTGCTCTTCATTGACACAGACAAGTGTTGCATGATCCCATTCTTATGCCTGCAAAAGCACATCTCCCCAGTGTTTTCCACTGGTTCTGCAGAGCTTATATTCTCAATGGTTTTTTTAGGTTCTACTTCCTGCCTTTGCCTGCACGATCAGTTTAGTACCTTTACTTTCTTATCTCCTCAAACCATGTTTTAGGGAACCCTAGTCCCAATAATCTATTTTGTAGGTTTCGCAAAACTCATGCTCTTTCCAACTGTCCACAGATTTTTAACATAATTTGCCGCATACTTAACATACAGTAAGTTTGAATCTTATTAAGGTTATTTTCCATGCTTTTAGTGTACTGATGATTAACTGAACATTAAGTGGAAAATTTACAGATTTCCAGGTTCATGAATCTTAAATTGTACAGTATTTGTATATGCTAGGGTCAGGTTATTGGTTGACTGTCATCATCTCTGTATCTTTACAACCATAAGCTATTTTTCTCCTGCAGTGCTGGGGCTTGAACTCAAGGCTTCGTGTGTGTCTAGGCAAGTACTGCTACCACTGAGATCTTCCCCAGCCTGAATGTCACTATAATTGCTGTGTTTGTGTTCAAGAACCTTTTTTTGCTTAATAATGGTCCCCAGGGAGCAAGAGAAGTGATGCTGGACCGTTTTATTACAGTATATTGTTATTAGTTGTTCTAATTTATTATTAGTCATTGATAATTCTACTGTGCCTAGTTTATAAATTAAACTTTATCAGTAATATTCTTTGTAGGTAGGGAAAACATAGCTTTTATACGTTTCAGTACTATAGCCGTTTCAAGTATCTCTGGGGTCTTATAGCATATTCCCCCTCAGAATAAGGGGTGGGGGGAAGATAACTGTCCTTTTAATTGGTATTTCCTTCTGAAGTGCTCTTCCTGAAACATAAGAAAGACCTATGTGCTAATAACTTAACATAAGTGAAATACTGTATGTCTGGCGGGAGTGTGAACTTCACTGAGGGTCGCTCTCTTTGGACATAACTGTCCATGTACTGCTGGTGGCTTTTGTCGCCTGAACGGAAAGCTTAAAAATCTGGCTGTGAAAGCAGCAATGAAGATGGAGAGCATCCCAAAGTCAAGCACATTCACAACTGCAGAATGGTACTCTAGGTCCTTCCAGCCGAGCTCCTTAACATTCCAGTACAATCATTCCTGTCATGAACCAAAGGGTATGCGATTTAGATTTGTAAGTTGAGGGTGAAGAGTCATCATTTTGTTCTCCTCTCAGATGACAATGCTATAAATGTAAAGTTGCACTAGCAATTACAAAGACCAGTGATGTGTGGACACCACAGGGCACTGACAGGATTAAAAGCCTCCATTCAGGGGAATATTCACCCGCCAATTTAGAATCGGAGAAAACTGGATCATTTCCAGCCACCAGAAAATTTGTCACGGCTTCAGCTGGGGGCATGAACTCAGTGGTTCTGTGCTTTGCCAGCAGCAAGGCCCTGAGTTCAAATTCAGTACTGTCCAGAAAAAAAACAACACAGAAAATGTTGCTATTTATTACAAAGACTGATGAGAACAGGTGCACGGAATGAGAAAAGGAAACAAACAAGGAAGGCTCTTTAATTCCAATGATTTTTTTCCTCATGAGACTTTTGGAGGGGAGAAGAAAATACATCCTTACAAAATCAAAGTAGCTAATTATTAAATCACATTGATTTAAGGGAAAAATAAGCCCCCAAATGAGAAACTTACCGTAGCCTTTTAACAAGAACAACTTCCAGGCATCTGAGAACACTCATGTTGTTCCACTACCCTCTCTTCTCATTTCCACTGCAGTCTGGAGAGAGGGGAGGAGCATCATTTGAAACAGATGAAATCCTGAATTAGGAGGCTTCACTTCGAAAGAAACAGAAAGCAGAAAATGCCCTTTGGAGAGAAAAAAGCAAAATAATTCCATTTAAGAATATTTTCTGACTATGTGAAAGGAAACTTTATAGAATTTTAAAAAATATTATAAATTCTAAAAAAAGAATATATGGTCCAAATAAAATTCCCAATTAGTTACTTGATGCAGGTTGAGGCCCTAGGGAGAGTGAAGAGAAGATTAAATTCAGGCAATGAGCAAGAATACAAGAAATTCACTGGATAAAATAGAACGATCCAAGATGGTGACTACACTACAGAAGCAGATAGCCTGAGCTCCGACTCCAAAACCTCACTGAGATGCTGGAGCCATACTTGGCAGAAGTAAAGCACCAACCAGAATTGAGCTTTTGACACCCTGAGTCCCTAGCCCATGGATGGCATCCCCACATGTTACGTTGAGAAAACTTGAGAGTTGCCACTGCCACTACAGCTGCCACCGCTGGCTCCAAACCTGCATGTGAGACATTCCACAGGCCAAACAGGTGAGTGCCATGCATCACTCAGAATTCCACCAGTCACCCTGGGACAGCCCCTGGGCAGACTGACTCCTCCTACAAAAAAAAA